TTGGCAAGATGTGTTCGCGCATTTCTCTCTCCACTACTTGAACTGGACCGAGCATGCATAGTATGCTTGTTGTTCTCTTGTTCACTATTTCGGCATCCAAGTGAAACCTAGTATTTGGTTAACATAAGTTCTTTGCTGCTCAAGTTAAGTGGAACTTTCAAGTTTTGCCTTTTTAATGACTATTCGAGTTTCTTCTCCCTCCCAATGCTTCAAATTTCTGCTGATGCTTTTGATTCCTGTTGATGTTAAATAAGGCCTGTTGGAAGCTCGGAACTCAGAGTATTAGCCATAGTATTTATCTCCTGTGCACATTTCACCTATCATGTCATCTCATTCTGCTGTAGCTTGAGTTATGAATCAGAATTTTTGGAACCTGTCCTACTCGTTGAGTTACAGTCTTTATTGTTTTATTTTAGATGCTTTGATCCTTCTTCCTGTGTCCAAGCTATGTCTTCTGTATCTAGTCCCAACAAATCTTCTCGCAGAACGTATTCGACTCTCTCCTGTGTTAGTAAACGCCCTGACTCATCCGTATTCGATTCAGGTAATGTTGAACCTCTAAAAGTGATCAAAAGACCTACCGTCGGAGTGGCGTGCGGTAGTCAGCCTCTTTTCAACCACCGCGGGTCAGGTGCCACACTCGACGATGCCTCCTCTCTGGTTGATCAAAGTTCTTCCGCCGTCTCTCCGGCGAAATTGACTTCTTCAAAATCTTCTCTCACTGGAACTAGTGCGTCCCAGTCGGATCTTGTTGGAATTAATTGCAAGCTAACTACTCTAACCATTAATCAACGGGAAAGTATCTATGTGAGAACATTATTTCGTTACGATCCCGCGACTGATCGAGGTCTTGCAGCCCGTGTAAGCTTTTCGCTATCAAACCTTATTCAGACACGCCTTTTCTATCCTTCTATTTTTCGACTATGGCTATTAGGTCTCATCCTTATGGTTCTTTGGAGCTAATGGTATATTTGCTGATCTCGTGAATTTCGGGTTGTTTCTGAAAGTGTCTCCTGTTCACCATCGCAATTTCTTGTTAGTTAACGCTGATTCATGCACCGATTGCTGTTTCCCATATTATGAGTTTTACTCTTGGCAAATACACTTGGCCATATTTAAAAGTGGCACTGGCACTTTGCAACATCTTTCATCCACCATGTGAAATTGTTTATCGTACTTCTTGATGGTTGGTTAAGCCTTGTGATAGTTGTATGCTTCTACGTTTCATTGATTTTTCTACAAAAACCATGCTTTTTTGTGTCCCTTATTTCACCATGTATACGTTTCCACAGGGCCTCGCCTTTGAGCATGGGGACATTCTCTACGTTGTAAATGCCAGTGACCAGGAATGGTGGCAGGCCTGTTATGCTTTTCCCATCTCCCCACCTGTCTGGGCCTCGGCCTACGCCTCAGCCACTGTCGTTAGTACCAATTGTAACACTCCCCCAGAAGTCCCTGCATCTCACACCAAAAGTATTCCAACTCAACAACCTTCAACTCCGTCGTGTCGGCCGGCCATCATTCCCAGTCAACGCCGTGTTGAGCGGCGCAGTAGACTTTCCGCCAAGCGCGTAAAGTTTGTGGACAAAGAGGTCGATATCGGTGGAGGAAGTCCCAGCCCCTGGAGTTTGGGCGGGGGTGACACTCCTAATCTTCCCTACGCCTTAGAGAGTCATAGATTCTTCGGCAGTACTGGTGGAGGTGGTGTTGAGGGGAGCTCTGCATCTCTTTCAGCCGTTGCTGGTGGTGGAGGCAGTAGCTTCCCCACTGGGGACTCTGTGTCTGTCGGTATGTTTGTTCTGCAACTAGGTTAATTGGAGGAGCAATGA